CAACACAACCAGAATAAAGAGTTTTTTTAACAGATGCTTGACTAGCAATGGGCGTAATATAAACCCCACGCTGGTGCTTTGTGGGATGCAAAGGGCTGCCAGTTCCCTGGCTTTACCTAAGCCCACCCCTCGCTCACGTGGAAGATGAAGGGAAGCACAGGGGAGAGGAAGAGCAGAACACGGTTGCCTACAGAACTACTGTACAAGCCACAGAAGTCATGGTCTACCGGGACGCCTTGCGCAAGCCACGTTTATCTAGAAGCTGAACTAACATTCCAGCTCAACAATAGCAAAAAAACATTTGTTACCACACGGCGTTTTGCTACATATTAACCAGCAGTTGCTACGCAAGCATAATGGAGTGCTGCAATTCCGAGATACATGTTATTTATAAAATAATAATAAAAAAAAAAAATGTTGACTTATGGAAAATCAGCCTGAGGGGAGTGCTCGTGGGCTTGCCATGCCACTGGACACAGTACATGCTTGGAAGTTATGCAAAGCGGGCCCTGCATTGGGAACAATGCAGTCTTTTTCCTTGCTAACCTAATTTTGCATAAAGGCAACGAGAGTCTTCATCTATGCAGCCCCTTAAAACATTTAATCAGATTTATTTACTAGGAAGAAATACCAGAGCAGAGCTTCCTATACTACTCAACAGCTTTCAAATCTGAGATCTGCAAAAAAACCAGGTCACTAGATGGTGTGGCAAAAAAAAGCCTGTTGTATTTTTAAGACATAACAGCTTTCTTGGTCCCATGATGAACACTTTACCAGGCTCCCCCTGACAGAGCAGCCAGGCTGGAACCAAATGCTTTCACAAAACATTTGCAAGAGTATTCACCAATGGCTGCTGGCATCTACTCTTACTTTAATGGGTATCACCATAGGTTGTAGAAAAGACCTGAAATAACTGTAGGCTATTTGAGGCCAAATACACGTATACACACTCTCTCTTACCCACACGTATACAGGCACACACTAGTACACGTGCACGCAAACAAATGGCTCTATAGGCAGAACTTGGATTCTGTAGGATCCAAGGCAGAAAAGCTGATTTTTGTCACAGGGTTTGGGAATCAAGGGCTCTGGGGTGCTAAAATCAAGTTCTCACTTTTGGGTCTCCTCTGCTTTGGGCAAACCAATTTAACATTATCCCTCTGGGATTTACACACCAACTTTATGGACATGCTGCTTAAATGCCTGCAAAGTGCTTTGCAATGGTTTCTAAATTCTGCAGTGATATGCACAGAAGAACTGCACAGATAGGTTTAAGATAACAGTTGCTGAGCATTATTGCTGTATAACTACAGTCTATTTTTACATGCTCTATACTTGGTTTCTATAAACAGATGGTAAGTGTTCAGTATTTGAACGTTTTAATGAGCTTTATAAGCCTTTTGTAATTTCATAAACAAGCATAAATAACACTTACATGAAGTAGAGTCTCTCCTGAATGTATTTTCTCTTCCTGTTTGGGGGAAAAAAAAGAGAAAAACAAAAGGGAAAAATATTTTAAAGGAAAAAAATAGGTCTAGCAAGATAAGTCAGACACGTTTCAATGTTATCATGCATCATGTTTCTTAATTTCATCAGTATGATCTTATACTTGAAGAACATAAAGACACTGAACATAGTACCGATGCCAAAACAGGATATCATTTCTCATGTGCTTCATCCCATGTAAAACATTGCAGAAGATTTGCCTACACTATCTAAAAAGCAGGAAAATTACAGTAGAGCAGTGAAATAAAATGCAAATGCCACGTGATCTGAAGCAAAAAAATGAAACAAAAAAATGAACTTTTAACTACATTCCAGCTCCCTGATAACCCCATGGCTCAGCGTACGGGTTGCTCTCCTACCCGTGGACAGCCGACCTGCACCAACACCCTGGAGCAGGGCACTCCTGCTGTGTTAGGGCATGGCATGGCACCGTGGTTTTTCCATGCACTGGCTGTATTCAAGCTCAGGTTGGGAAACCACAGCAGCGAAGGCATCCTTCGAGGCTGCGACAACGCCGAGCGACAGAGAACCACAACAGGAAACCCAGTAACTGCTAAAATGCACAAACCTTCCCAACAGCTGATGGGCCTTAACAGCCACGGGCTTCCCACCCCGCTGCCTCCCACCCAAAGCTTGGTGGCATTTGATTCACGTTCCCCTTCCACCAGCATAGCTCGTGGGTTTGGTGGATGCTCTTGGAGCAGGGTTTAGGGCTGCTGTAAATCCAGACACACTGAAGAAAGAGAGACTGATAGAAATACAGAAGATGCTGTAGGACACCAGCCATGGTTTCACATGGTGTCACAGACTGGCAGCACAGCAGCCCTTCCAACACTAGGTTTTTGGGGAAAAAAGGACAATGAAGAGCAGCAGTTTCACTTAATTTCTACTGCATTACCTTATATCAATATTAGCTACTATGTAACCAACTTAAAGGGTAGTGCCTCGGGATGATACTCAGCTTGCACAAATCAATTAAATCCATGGCACTGCAACAGCTGAGGATTCAAGTAAATACGCATGTATGGAAGAAATTCAACAAATATTAAATCACCGCATTCTCATCCTTTTCTTCCAAATGCCAAGGACCCAATCCTGCAAGCTGCACGCTCAGAGTAGCACTAGAATAAACTTGAGTTCTGTGTATAAAGCTCTTACTGAAGTAGACTCAGGATTACTTTAAAAAACATAACCCTGATCCATTCTGGTCATGTAAATTAAGTTAGTGATGAAAGAAGTCGAAGGCACTAATCCTACTGAGTAATCTATTCAAAGCTTCACTTCTTAAATGATCTACAATTTATTCATATGACCAGTCAAATAAGCATTACTTACAAAAGGCTTTAACTACCAGTGCTTTCCCATCCATATTTATGTGTTGCAATACAGTTAAATTTAAAAGAAACTAATCAGCATTATCTTTTCAGAGTTGTTTGCCAGCGTGGTTAAAACCCCAGGCAGGGCACCACTGCTGACTCCCCTTACTGGTGGAACTGGTAACACTGCCATTGGAGCATCGGGGCAATGTTGCCCTGTTACCCTCTGAGGCAAAACTATGGGGCACTGGAAAACCTAGAAAGGGCAAAATTAAAATAATAGAGGGTTGCCACTAAGTCTTGAGGTGCACTGATGAAAATCCTGGGAGTATCACTGCCTGGGAAACATGGCAGCCTGTTGAAAGTGCCTGAGAGTCTTTTTGGAAACATTCAGCCCATAAGACCTGGCTGGAAGCCACTAAGATACACTAAGAGTATTGATTAAAAAAACCCTCACTGAAATACTAGCAATGATTAGCTGTAAGACAAGATCCTCACTGAGGCTTTACAAACAGGATTCTGCTCAGGCACAGGAGGTTTCCCAAGCACTCTGTAGCAAGAGCAAGCCAATCTAAAGTGTCTTCCTAGTTTTCCCAGGCAATATAACACCTCTTCTCTGACAGCATTTCACACTGACTGAAGCCTCCTGCTACAGCCCCAACATTTCACCTCTGACATGAAAGCACCAGGCAACCCAAAACCTACACATTAGGGACTACTAGCAAAGAGCTGAACGCCAAATTTAGCTCCTGGTTACAGCACAATAAAACAAAAGTCAGCAGCATTTGAAAGATTCCCAGTTTCTACTGGACTCCAGAACAAGACTCCTAAGCAAACAAGCCAAATGCCCCAGGATTTTGATTTAGCATCCCCGAGCACGCAACCACCTTCTTGGGGCCTCCAGGTATCACGGTGCCACCTGCAATCTCCTGTCTTTTGCGAAATATGACAGAAAATAAGCCTCGCAGCGCACGGTGAAAGAAGCAGGTTAATAAATGACAGCAAGAAGCGGCCTTTCCTCTCCCGGCCCCGGGGTCGGGGTCCCTCCCCGCCCGGGCAACACCTAGGGAGCGGTAAAGGTGTCTGTCGCCCTCCAGTGGGAGCTTCCTTAGCACAGCCCAAAGCGTGAGAGGTGGGAACAGGGAGGGACAGAGGTGAAAGGCAAATACAGGGGGGAAGAAAAAAAAAAGAAAAAAAGAACATGCAAAGCAGATAAGAGACAGTGGAAGAAGCAGCACGAAGATACTGTCTCTGAAAGTGCCAAAAATAAAGTTTCCAGTGTCAGCTTAACCAGGCAACACAGTCATTCTCTCTTCACACTCGTGCTTCAGCCTTGACTTAGTCCAGGCAAGGGACACTGTCATGCTGCTGGCTGCCTCAGCTGCTCACACATTTTGCTTTAAAAAACCCCCCCAATAACCTTCGGGGAAACCTTTCGGTAACACAGCAGTCAGCTCTCCTGAATGAGGACCCAGAGGTAAAGAGCCTGCTGTCAACAACCATCAGAGTTTTCACCAAAGCCTCTCCCCTCCAAATTCCACCGCAGCAGGTTTTAACGGGCTGACTTACCCTCAAACCTAAACTCATAAAATCTAAACTGGTAGCAACTGTCATCTGAGCCCCAAATTACACAGCTGATGACATATGCCCCTGTCAGGGCTGCCTCACTGTTTTCCTAGTCCAAAACTCAAAACATTTTCACATGCAAGCAATAAAAAAAAAATGCAGTTACCAAAATAGCACTATCAACGTAACCAGCTCCTCTCGGCACATTTTCCTAATGCCTTTCCCAATACGGTTAAAAAAATGGGAACTAACAAAAAAAAATCCATCTTTACACCTTGGCACAAACTGTGCTGAAATATGTGTGGGGTTGTATTTAGTTGTGTTTATCTGGATTCTCTCCCACTACTTTTTTCCTTTTTTTTTTTTTGCTTCATCTATGCTTCCCTTTAAACGCAGCTCTTACTAAACAGCAGAAATCAGCTTTTACAATTTCTAAATACCAAGTTTTGTCACTCTCGGAGCTGCCTAAGGATAACACAGCTTGCCTTCAGCTTCATAAATAACACATACTCTGCACATTTCTTCGCCTGGGTGAAATAAATTCTCCCATGTTCTTATATGGAAACCTTGTGAGTCCTCCCACGTAGCGCCTGGTACAATATTCAGGCAGCGATGGGCATTCATTATCTTAAAGCCAGCGGGTGAATTTCGGATACAAGTTACCCCCAGACGAACCCAAAATTATCACCCCTTCACACCACGCTGAGCTCAGTAACCTGCTCTGTGCAGTCCCTGCATTTTATTTCCAAGCCCCAATCACAACTTTGATTTCAGCATCAAACCAACGAAATAAATGGAAAACGAAGGGAATAAAAAGGAAAACGAGGGAAACAGCACGAAAGCAGCAGCAGCGTTATTACCCACCAGGTAGGCCCATTAGCATCAGATGTAGCATTGCCCGTACCAGCCTCTTCACTCGAGGTTAGCGCACGGCAGCCAGAGAAAACACGGAGGGGAGGGGTGGGAAGAAGAGAGAAAATGGACAAAAATAGCCGGGGAGAGAAGCGTGCGCCCTAGATGTGCTGGAGGGCCGCCAGCAACGGGGAATTGCTGAGAACTGTTATCGCCAAAAAAAGTTAACGCAAGGTGGGGGGAGGGGTGGGGTAAATAATCGCCGGGAAGCAAAAACCCCGCCGGGGTAATGGGGAAGCTGGGGAGGAGGGGGCTGGAAGGAGAAGGATGAATTAACAAATAAACGTAAGAGGGGGAAGGGAAAGCGCGCCCGCGGGGCACCCCGAGCCGGGGCGGACAAAGGGACGACGATGCCGCCGCCACCGGCCCGGCTCGGTTCGGCTCCGCTGGGCGCGGAGCGGCCGTCCCTTTGTTCGCAGAGAGGGGGGATCCGGGGCGATCCGCGCCGGCCCCGCCGCCGCCGCCACCACCGCAGCGGCAGCGGCAGCGGCGGCAGCGGCAGCCCCGCCGCCCGCCCGCCCTCCCGCCCGGGAGGCGCCGGTACCTGCGTCCGCTGGCCGCGGTGCCTGCGCGCCGCTGCGCCCCTGCGGCGGTGCGGCGCGTCCGGCGGAGCGGTGCGGCGCGACTAGCAGCGCCGAGCTGGAGGAAACGGTAATTTATAAGCGCTTTCTTCCTGACCTCTCGTGTCTGTTGTCTAATGAGGGAGCTTTGAGCATCACCCATCCTGCTGAGTGGAAAAACACCGGCACGGCCTCTTCTTTGCTGGGGAGGGGGGAGCCTAAAGGAAGGGGTGTGGGGGAGGAGGGGCCATGCCGCAGACACGGCGGCGGAGCCCGGGCTTGGCAGGCGGCCGCGGGGCGGCGGGGAGGGGTGGGCGGGTGCGGGGCAGCGGCCGCCGCCACCCGGGGGGGCCGCCCCGGGCCGCTCGCCCTCCCCCGCGGCTGCCGCGGGCAGCGGGAGCGGGGCTGGCCCGGGGCCGGCCCGCGTCCCGCGGCGGGGAAGGAGCGGAACGAGGGCTCCCAGCCGTCGCTCTCCTCTCGCTATTTTTTATTTTCGTGCGTTCTTTTTAATCGTTATTTTTTATCTTCACACAAAGAGCGCCCTTCTCGCAGTCAAAGCATCCCACGGCGCTGTCACCAGCTCTGCCCGTCGCTGCGCCCGGGCTCTGGCTCTGATCTTCCGCGGCCACTTTTCTTCCCGGGAAACTGTACTCTGGACCCGGTGCCGCCCTGCCAGGCTTTGGAGGCGTTTGGTCTCGGCAGCCGTGTGCTGCTGGAGAAGGCAGCACGGGAGCGTGGCCTGGCAGGTGCCTGGGCGGCCGGGATCTCCTTGCTCTGCTCTGCCGCCTCCCAAAAGCGCAGTCCCCGACACCGGGCAGTTCCAGTCGCAGCTGGAGAACAAAGTACGGCCGGGGCGATCGGCAGGGAAAATGAGCAAGGCAACGTTTTGTCTTGCGTTGGGTTTCACAGAACCGAAAGCTGGTGCTTTTCCCCTGCAGGCGAACGGGTATATGACTCAAATATGTCCTCGCTCTCCTACCTGCATCCCCTCTGGTTCTCTTAATGAAAGGGTCCAGCAGCACACAGAGTCGTGAGGAATTTTCATATAACCCCTGCTGAAGACTTAGTAAGATCCTCTGTACTGCAAAATACCGTTTGCATTGTGGGAGCAGAGTAGTGGTGAAAGGATATTTTGGGCCATCTGTGTTTCGCAGAAGTCCCGCGGCACTAACGACACTGGGAACAGCAGAGATGCACCAAAAAAGAGTGAACAGTCCCCACAGCTCTGCTCTCCAGGCTTTCCCGGATACAAGATGCTACCTTCCTACACCACAAACTAGGACAGCAGTCATTGGGAGCCCACCTCTGGAGCCCGTTGCCTATGCACAGGCTTCTGGGGGAACAAATTCCATCACAGCAGCCTCCAGGGAGGTCTCTAGAAAAGGCTGATTTCCTTAGTTGGTTCTTGCAAAAGCTGCACCCCTTCTGCACACTCCTTGCTGGCAGTACAGGATGCCAAACACACTGTGCCACAGTCACAATTTGCCCTGACTGCAGTGCCCATGTGATTTTCCAGTATCTGAGCAGATTTCCAACGTGAGTAGGTTTTTAGCTGAAAAAGAGATAGAAGTATAGGATATATGCAGCTAATTGATGTCATATCTCCACCGAACAGCCTGGTTTAAACTTGTAACGATGTAGTCCATGCTGCCACCTACGTCTTCTGATTCAGCTTTCTTGTGTACTGCAGCTTCGATTTGTAGGCATCCTTCAGAAGGCAGCTCACATTTTGTGAGACTCCACGAGGGACTACAAACACAGGCAAGCTCTGGCTACACTAGGGAATGAAGCAAAAGCATTTCTCACTGCTGCAGCCACTTGTTTGGTTGCAGTGAGGATGCCTTGATGCAGATTAGGAACAAGCAGTCACATCGGTGAAATGTAAGTAGCGGCTGGAGCCTCGTCTGTATGAAGGATCCTGCCAGCACAGCTGTACCAGTGACAGCAGTGGAATATTTTGCTCAAGTTCTCTAGGGGAATCAAAGCCTGTATTTTGTCTCTGGCTTTCTCTGTTCTGTTGCTCCTCACTCATTAAAAGTCAGACACAGAAAGCACATGGTTGCTCTCTGTGTTTAAAAAAAATATGTTTGGGGTAAAAAACCAGCAGCCAAAGCTGTTTTGAAGTCAGAAGCGTGTACACAGTACCTGGAACTAAGTGGAATAATAATAATAATAATTAGTCCTTTTGTGTCATAGATATGCACATGGCTGTTTGCTATTTCATTATGAGACAGCACAACTTCTGAGAATGTGCCTGATGAATATTTGGGGGAACTCTGCCTTCAGCTGCAGCAGTGTATGGCAGCACTAATGCCTTTGGCTCCTCCACTCTCTTATGTAACTGAAATCACAAGTTGGAGCCCGAATTACAAAGCATAAGCATGTGTATAATATTAAGTGTACAAATGGTGCCTGAAATTACTGTCCTTTTCATGTAGGTCTGGCTTTAATCTGTTAGAATTTTTGCTTCTGCGTATCTATTGACTTCGGCGTGTGCTGATGCCATTCATAGCGCAATCAAGCCTAACCCCTTAAAAACCCCACTCTGAAGACATTAACCCAAACCTAAACTAAGGACAGTCCAAAATCACTCTGGTTACAGGTAGGTGTACTTCAAATGACCTGTGTACCAGACCTCAAGAGTATCCAGTATTAAGAAGCAGAATACCCTATCCATGTGGCTGCTTTGGTGACCAGCCAGAGCGGCAGGTTTTTGCACCCCAGCCCAAGGCACAAGTCATCACCTTCCTTTGCATTTTCCCTCTTTCTCAGAGACTATTTTTGCCATTACCATGCTGATCTACTTTCTAGAGTTTTAAGGTGTCGGGTGCTGATACAGCGAGTGCCTCTTGTATCTGTTTAATCCGATAACATAACTCTTTTTTAATCTCCACGTCTGGGTCACAGGGTTTAAAAAAGACACTGGGCCAAATCCCCAGCTTGGCTACAACGTGTGGAAATCTACTGAGATGGCACGAAAGTCAGGAGAGATTCGCTGTATTTGCACCCGGTTAAAGAGGTCTCGAGAGGCAGGGATGTGAGTGCCAGATTTCGCAGATGGATGCGTATTAGCACAGGAGTATGGCAGAGCCAGGTCAGGTTTCTATCAGGTAAGGCAGAGGGAAGGATATCACACCAGGATCTAAAATATGCTCGTCAGCAAATTCTCATTCATTTTTAAATTGGAACAGATTTAATATTTCTTCACTTTTCAGGAGAACAGCTTGTTTTCACTGTGCGGCTGCTAAAGCGAACATGATGTTTCATGGAGTCAGGACCAAGATAGGGCAAGGACAAGGAGGAGATTTTGCAGGGACTGGGGAGATTTTACATATAAACATTCAAGTTAAAAAGGCAAAATTCATCCAGGCATGAAGTCCAGCAGAAAGCTAGGAGACAAATGGACAGCATTGTCTGCAAAGGACTGTGTAAGCAAAAATGGCAAAAAGATGGTCTGAATAAGTCCCTTGCATTAATGATTCTCTAGACATGAATTTCCTATATAAAGCTCTATGGGGTCAACCTTTTTAGCAGAGGATCCTGAGCTCGAAAAAGGAAGGCAGATTTTGTAAGGGATTTGCATATCATGGAGTGACTGTGGATTGCAGATTTTAAGCATTACTAAATTGGGGAATAAATTGTTGCTGTTGTTGTTACATACCAGGATATCTCACTAATCCACCCAATCCACTAAGTTGTTGTAGTTTTAGTCTGTGTTTATTTTACATGAAATTATGGCCTGAACAGTTAATTTTTCTTAATTTATCCATATAAATCATATATAAATAAAATATCAAACAGAAATCAAAACATGACCTGTGTTTTTGGTACACTGCCCATCATGTGAACCTGCCAGTGATAGAGCCCAGGGATGCACACAGTTTACAAGTCAAACACAAAGACAACTAAAACCCACAGGTTTTCTTGAAAAGTAGCCAACTGGCATTAAATTCTCTCATTTTAATGCTCTGGGTGGCCTATTTTGCTTATATTTGAGACTGCCTAGCCATTATGGGATTGCCTGCACTGGTCCTTCCCTTACATCAAGCTAATTACATATTAACTAGAGGCACTCAGCAAGTCTGAGAGGCTGGAGCTGGTCCTTTCTGAACACCAGTTGAGTTTGGAAATGCCTGATGTTTTACAGGGGTGGATTCCCAAAGTGAGAGGCAAACACAGAGGAACCAAACAGCCTGGAACCAAAGTGGTCCTGCTGGCTTTTGAAAAAAGCGAGTGTCTCAAGTTAATTGACAGTCAGCTACCTGGAAATAAAAACCTCTCATATATCCAAAGGTTTTCACCGGGATTTTCAAGAGCTCCTGAGCAATTTAAAATTCTTGGAAGGAATGCACTATAGAATGAAACATGTATGTATTATTAAAGAATGTCTCCAAACTGAAAGCCAGCCAGTTTCATAAAAGTGAGCTAAAAAAGCAATAACAGGTACTCTGTCTCCTGCTGGATGCTGTATGAACCGTATGTTTTGCATTTTGGAAGTCGCTCTAAAGCAATGTTTTTTCTTCACTGTTGCTATTGGGAAGAACAGTAAAAGAACTATGCATAAATGAGGTTAAAGTAATCTAATTAAAAAAATAAACAATGTGCTTTCATCATCAATTCATATCCAGTCATTTGGGATCTAACTTTAAAAAAAAATAGACAAAAATTCAGAAAGGATTTTGAAGGACAACTGTTTCTCTTTAAGATTAATGATAAACATACTTGTGTGTTCAAGGGAGAATAGATCCAGTGTTATGTAACAGGATAAAGAAACCAAATCCTTTTCCCTTAAATTAAAATAACCAGTATGTGTGTGGATTTTAGTCAATCACTGAAAATTCAGGAAACCCATTTTCTTTCACAATTGCATTCCACACACTAAAATTGACGTCTTCTAACTTTTAAACAGAATCACAACAATTAAAGACAGAAAAGATTGGTTTGTTCTGTTTGACCACACTTTGCCAATAGAGGGTTGTTCCCTAAGGAAAATTCTGCGGCACTTGCGCTGTGCAGAAATCCAAATGTGTGCTCATCTTTTTATTTCATGTGGCATTAGCAAATCCAGTTATTGCACTTCTCAATTGTTTTTTTATTTTTAATCTAAGTACCTAGGACTAGATGTATGCTACCTCATCTTTTTAAATCATTTTTTGCCTGAACTATTACATAACATGTCTTATAAAATCTTGCAGTACCTGTCTAAATTTGCCAAAATGTGACAAGATCAACAGGTAATGTTTTTTTTTTTTTTATGTTGGCATTGTTCTTTGCTGGCCCAGTCATATAAAATATGTTAAAAAAACACAGAAGAAAACAATTTTCTACCATAGAACCTGCATTTTTCCACTTCTGTATTTTACAAAAGCATACCAGAACTTCTGCATCAGAATTTGACACATAAAGTTCCTCTTTATCACGAGTTCAATTTTCAAAAAAAAGGCAAATGATAGTTTTAATAACCAAGATATAAGCCCCTAAAAGGCTTAGACTCTAAATGTACTTGCTAAAAAAGAAAAAAAAAAAAAAAAAAGAAAAATTCATCTTGTTGTATCCAATTCTGGAGTCATTATTTACACAATGCATAAGAGTTGGGATTTATATAGAAAGGCACTGCTGAGTTCAGGTGATGTTCACTCGTGCATGAAAGAAGCAGGTATGTGCTTTGCTGAGCTACTCAGAGCTTTGTCTGTGGACCAGAGGAAATGCTGCTTTATGTTGGCACATCCTTGCACATGTCCACACGTGATGTTTTCAGTCCTGAAAGCAAAGCTTCAGGTCTGGGCAGTTTAAGTGATGTTCCCTCAGTGGACCAAGTCCTCTGTTAGCAGTATTCCAGTAGCATAAAGTGTGCTTGGAGATGATGCACATGTTGAATATGCCTCTTTCCCTGCTAATTACATACCCACCATGCTGCAGAGATTTCTTTGGCCTCATGAGCAGAACATCTCCTGCAAAGTAAAAATGGTTACACAGGTCCTGCATGAAAGCTGGGAAGCCATAGGAGATGTAGGCTGGGAGATGGGGAAGAAGTTGTGGCAGACTCACTCTGAAAGCAGTAAAGGGTCCTCAGAGTCTGAGGCTGCCATGTAGAACCACTTCTATTTCCATTTGGAGCTAGTCATCGACCTGGGCAGGCTTCGCCTGACCACATCCCAGGTGACAGTGGGCATCACAGTGGAAAATAGTCCAAAAATATATGGTGGTGAGCTTACTGAGGCAGGCGAACCCTCTCGACTTACGTGATGGATCCAGAAAAGCCGATGGATTAAACTCGCCAGAGAGGAAGAAGAGTGATCACTTGAGTGAATTCATACATGCTCATATTTCTTTCTATTTGCTTATGGGTCCCTCTGCTGCCTTCCTTCTCAAAGTGATGGTGAAACAGTTATGAAGAGTGTATAAAAAATGATTTTAAATTACCTGGTTTATTCTGACAAATTACATCGGTAGGTGTAGGCAAAAAGTAAGAGAAAATATTGTAAGAAACAAAACCACTCCCAAATGCATGTTTGTACGAGTTCAGACAGATAGAATTTCTAGCTAGGTGAATTAATGCACTGCAAGCAGAGAAAGGGCTTCAAATGAGTGCATAGAAAAAATAAATTTCAAACGAACCCTGCAAGCTATTCAGTTATCTGACTTTAATTAACAGAACTGAAAACCAAACATATAATATAAACTTAAAAACACAGCGCTTCGGTTTTCCGGACTGCCAGTCCAAATGCAAAACAAATCGCTTGCATCTGGTGGTGGGGAGGCAGAGCCGGCACCGGGAGCAGCACTTTCACCCGGCCGAGTGACGCAGCAGCATCTGCTGTGCTACCCACGTGTGGCGGCTCCGACCTCTCCCGGCACGTCCGAGCCCGCCGTCCTCCGGCACAGCCTGGGCACAAACACCAAAGCATTGCCCGCGTGCCCCAAGGAGGATGCCTTGGCTTCCACCTCAGTGGCAGCACCGTTGTTCCCTAAGGCAGCAGTGCCACTGAGGAGAGGCCAGGCTTGGATGACCTTGAGCCTCCTGAGCAGTTACCTTTTCTGGGCCTT